GTTTCAGTTCTGAGGAAAGTTTGGAGAAGTTAGGATTGCTTTCCTCGGAGTGGTGAAGACTAAAAGGAGTTTTGATACAGAGTTTTAAAGTGTTTGCAAAAGAAGCAAATGCAAGATCTTCTACACAGTGAGCAGTTAGGGTCTGGAATGCACACCCTGGACATTTGGTCGACGCAAGTTCAATTAAGGCATTCAAAAGGACATTGGATAATTATTTATACAGAAACAATGCACCAGGTTATAGAAAAAAGATACGAGATTAGCACTCAGAAAGAATGATGAGAGAGCAGGTGCAGTCACAATGGGCCGAATGGCCTCCCAGAGCATTGTAACAATTCTGTGAGTTTTCTGTCAACAAAATGCTCTTGCAGACAGCTGGAACAAAGTGATGGGCTGAATAGTCTCCTCCTGTGCTCTATCCACTCCACGATTCTATCTTACCAGTAAAAGTCAGACATTATGTGCTACACCAATCTCAAGTCCCATGATACCAATCAGTCAATAATCTCAAGTCAATATTTCATTACAGCCAAAGTCAGGCCAACTCTGACTTGCACTTATTTCTGTTTTGCTCCAATGACCCTTTTGTTTGATTTCTGTAACTGTCTTACAAAGCAACAGAAATGTAAATCTAAAATTGGTCCCAGACAGCCCGTGCAATGTCATGCTACTCAATGCAACATGACAAAGCAAGAGATCGGAGTATTTGGTTATGGTTTTCTGTTGTCATTCCTGCCCCTAGTTTCTTGAAAATAATTGTCGCCACAGACAGCACAGGAGAAGACTGTTGTCATGGGGCATCTTATCATCTTCATGTTTGAATGAGGAACAAGACCAATCCTGGGTCTGAAATTAAATCCTGTTAAAGGATGGCCAGCAGCTATGACCTTCTGGCTTTTGTTTTTGGGGTTAAGGGGGATGAAGGAAATGATGGTGAAGATGCCTCATTGTGGTTAGTCCACAACAGGAGTAGTGTGTGCAGTTCATGCACCATGTTATAGAAAGGGCGTGATTGAATTAGAGAGTGCAGAGGAGATTAACAAGGAGGCTGCCTGAGTTACAGTGTCTGGATTATGAAGACAGTATAGGTAGCCTGGGGTCATGTTCCTTGAAGCAGCAAAGATTAAGAGGGAACTTGCTACAGGCATATAATATGACATAAGTCTTTGAAGTCTGCATCACACATAGATAGGGTGGTTAAGAAGGTATTTAGCAAGCTTGCCTCTATTGCTCAGACGTTTGAGGAAAGGAGTTGGGATATTATGTTGAGGTTGTACAAGGACGTTGGTGAGGTCTCTTCTGGAGAAGTGTATCCAGTTCTGGTCTCTCTGTTATAGGAAGGATATTATTAAGATGAAGAGGATTCAGAAGAGATTTACCAGGATTCTGCTGGGAATGGAGTTTGGAATGGAATGGACTTGAGTTATAAGGAGAGGCTGCATAGGCTGGAGCTTTATTCACTAGAACGTAGGAGATTGAAAGATTACCTTATAGAGGTTAATAAAATCATGAGGAGTATAAATAAAGTAAATGGCAGGTGTCTTTTCCCTAGGGTGGGGCAGGACGCTACCTGATCTACTGAGAGTCAACCTCGGGGTGTTCTGTTCACTGCCAGGAAGACCTTGGTATCATCACCAATCTGTCCCAAGTGTCCTCTACTAATTGGTTACTTGCTACTGCTGGGAGGTGCATTTGGGTTTGTATATGTATTTGTATGTGTGTGTCTGTCAGCATGTGTGAGTTTGTGTGCGCATGTCAGTATGTCTCTATGTGCGTGCATGCCTGTGGGAGTGTGTATGCCTGTGTATACGAGTGTGTCTGTTTTGCATGTTGGTGTGTGTCTGCCTGTGTGTGTATGTATGTATCTATCTATCTATCTGTGTGTGTGTGTGTAGGTCTGTGGAGAAAGTTCCAGTATGATCCCACTTATTCAGTCTCTGGTACGATAACACCAAGGCAGGACTGCATCAGCTAGATGACTTGACGCTCATCTTTCCCAAGATCCCCACTTTCAGTGCTAGCTCCTTGCAGCTGGTAAGATTGCACCATTATATCCAGACGCAGGCATGCACCACATTTACTAGGTTCTCATCTAATTGTCACACTTCCATTCCTTTTAATTTTGATTCATAATATGATGAGGCTGCTAGTCCTTGTGAACATGTCTTTTTTGTCTCTGGCAGCAGCACCAAAGTAAACCTGTTGGGTTCAGCAAGGCTACAGGCTACTGTTGGGTTAATTAAAGTTGCTGACACCAATTCTGCTTATCTCTCTGTACAAATTGTTACATCTTCCTTCACTCTCCCCGGAATCTTCCAATATTATATCTGGTTGTATTTCAGCAAACTGCTTATACATCCAACTTTTCCAAAAGATTATTTCAATTTCCTTGATTTTCAGATGATTCTTAACATATGGAGCTCCTCTGTAACATCCCCACCTTTCCTGAACAACATGTAATCCCTTTATTCTTAAATCATTCCATCTTGAATGTTAACTTTCCACATTCCCAAAACACTGAATTGAGTGTTTTACTATCAAACTGGATTCTCAAGATTTGAAGTTTCTTGAATAAAAAAAAAATAGAAGTGCAATTGAGACAGTACAGAGTTGCTGGTGTACTGTGCCTGTACTCAAACAGTGATACCCACATTTCAGTGTTTATGCACCCAACCTCTTGGTCTCACAGACAAGATCAATATCGTAACCATGCTTTCAATGCAGGAGACACAAACTTAATAGAGAACCACAAGAGGAAGAAAGCAAACATCTTCAACAGGAGAGAGTTACAGGCTAGGCATGTGTCCATACGTTTAGATACAAAGAGACCTCTTACTGTTTAATATTAACTTGTGAACTGATGTTAAAAAGCTCTGCACAAACCAAAGCTGTTAACGGTCTGTGGAGGGAAGCAGACAAGATTCTAGTCCACCTTCACTGTCAGTCTGGAACAACATTTGGTTCCCGGGTTTTAGAAATCATATGCTAGTGGCTAAAACTACAGCCTCACAGGGTGGGGCAGGGGCAGTAGGTGGGGAGAGGTAGAGGCTCTGCTCTCACTTGCTCTCTGCACTGAGGGTCAATAGTTGTTTCTCAGCAGTCAGGAAGCTCACTGCTGATAAAGACAACAAGAGAACAGATCAGGGAATGGATATTAAAACAACCAATCAATACACAGAGATTTATAATGGAAATTCAACAGTGAATCAATACAGTGAGTGATTACAGGAATGGGGTTAGATTCGTCTCCAGTCAAAATGTCCTGATTCTACGTTATACACACTTCCCTCTGAGAACACTTAGGGCTGTATTTGGTATTGACACTATTTTTGGCAACGAAATGAAACACAAGCACAAAATAGTGTTCACTGTTTTACAGTCACAGTCCTGTTTTTACCAAAAATAGAAAAGAAATGACAAGGACTGAGACATATACAGTGGAGTAGTGCGCGCACGCACACACACACACCCTCCCACAAGCACGCACGGTGTTAAACAGACACACACACACACATACAGCAGAGTGTAGATGCATATGGACACAGGAGTATAGCAGATACATACACATGGCAGAGTATAAGGCACCTGCACACAGACACGCGAGCACAGCAAAGAGACACAAATGTGGCAGTGTGAAAATACACACACACATGCAGCACAGCATAGATACACACACAGAGCATATAGCTGCGAGAGAGCGCACACGCACACACACACGCACACACACACACAAAACCCAGTTCAATACCACTGTCAATGTCCTCAATAATTGGATTAAATGTTATCACAATGTGCTCAATACCCAGCTGTTTAACTAGTGAGTTACTGAGCTGTACAGATTGGGAAATTTTTACATTTAATTCCCAGACGGTATGATATTAATTAAAGTCATTGAGAGTTTCAGTTAAGTTGCCAGCCTGGACTATGGGGCAAGAGTTCATTAACTAATCAATACTCCGAATCCTATGACCCATTTGTGAAAATGATTTCTTTCGTTACCCGCAAGTTTTTCCCAGCTGTGACTATTTGCATCGGAAAAGAATTCACACAACTTCTTTTTCCCTGAACTCCCGCTAGTGTACAAGGACAGCATCAGGCTCAACTGTGATGTCTCTGTGGTCAAGCAGGTCACAGACATTGACTAGGCTCACCAGTGAAACTGACCACTTGTGTGAGACACTGAAATGCACATCCTAGATCAAAGCAGCTCATCAATACCTGACCAGGCATTCCCTCTGTTATTGGAAAAAAAACCTACTGGCTGAATGGAATTATCTTGAGTGCTTCTCAGAGGACTCTCCAGACAACAGATCATACTGCATTTGGGTATGTGTATGTGTGTGTCTGTCAGCATGATCATACTGCTACCCAACACCAAAAGAGGGGATCTTTGTCTAAATTCCCACATGGCTGGGCTCTCTCGTACTCTACCATCAGGAAATGTGAAGTTTTCCAGCCAGTTTCCATTTCATGGTCCTCCAGTTAGGACGGATCGCCAACTAATGATTAGCCCTGCACCCAGTTGTAGCGAAATGGAAATGGGGCATTTTGTCACTGAGGAGAAAGTTGAGGCACTTGCACGTATCTTTTGATTGAAGTTGAAGGAGACACTGACGCAACATAGGGAAAAGAAATCTATGCAAACTTTTTCGGGGCAGCAAGTGGTTGCAGCAGGAAAAGAACTTGAAGGAAGCAAAAATGATGCTCTTGTGAAAATGGGTCAGTTAAGAAAGGATAGTCCTTAACGGTGCAGAATCTGTTGGAAGTGCTGCAGTCAGTAGTCTCTCCACATACTGCACACTGAAAACATGTACAAGCTGTTCTTAGCTCAGAGCAAACAGAGCTGTTACTGAAAGCAGTATTCCACCATCTGCCTCACTATCTCTGCCACCTGTTTCCTATTCACTCTGACTGCCAAGTCCTGAGATCTGACAGTGTCCTGTGGGCTCCCCCTTCCTTGGCAGCACCTGGCATGTACGTCTGTGCTGCTTCTCACTTACCATGCTCCAGGATGATGAGCTGCGCACTGGCCCGTTCATTCCCTACATCGTTCTCTGCCACACACTGATACAGACCTTCATCAGATTTTACCAGACCAAGAACCTGCAGATTCCGCTCATTCTGAAACATAGAGAAAAGGAGCAATGCTTAACATTCTCTGCCACAGATTTACCAAGCTGGGAAATTCCTAACCTTTAGTATTTAATGCTCTTCTGAGACTAGGGGTAAGGTACATTATTGTGGCAGAACAGAGAGGAACTTATTTATTTCTGCATTAAACGTGAATTGTGATACTCAACACCTAACAATATTCCACTTTCCAAAGATGTTCCATGATGACAATAGTCAATAAAACTCTGTAAATTAAAGCCCTAAGTTTTAACGATCACAGAACAGAAAGCAAGCTGTGGCAGATGGTGGAGGTGATGGCCTAGTGGTGTTATCACTGGACTGTTAATCCAGAGACCCAGATAATGTTCTGGGGACCCAGGTTCAAATCCCGCCATGGCAGATGGTGGAATTTGAATTCAATAAATATCTGGAATTAAGAATCTAATGATGACTATGAATCCATTGCGATTGTCGGAAAAAACCATCTGGTTCACTAATGCCTTTTAGGGAAGGAAACTGCCGTCCTTACCTGGTCTGGCCTACATGTGACTCCAGACCCACAGCAATGTGGTTGACTCTTAAGTGCCCTCTGGGCAATTAGGGATGGGCAATAAACGCTGCCGAGCCAGTGATGCCTGCGTCCCGTGAATGAATAAAGAAAAAAATGTCACCAGGAACTCAAAAGATTCAACTCCATTGAAAGAAGATATCGAGATGGTCAGACACCCAAACCTTCTAATTAAGCAGACATGGCAAACAGTGGCTTTCTAGCAAATGGAACCGAAGGTTCCCACATACACGCACAGTCAACAAGCCACACACAGCAGAACCTCCCATGCTTGTTTACCAGAGCTTGCTGAATGAGTTGGCCAGGGTGCCTGGTCTTATTCACTGTTGGTGATCCCAGAGAAACTATGTTTATGTGGATAGCAGGTCTGTAAAGGATCAGGCACTCAACATTCAAATGGCCCATCAAACACAATGTCTCTTCCAACTGGGGATATGGGCCAAAGCAGGTGGAATGAATTTGGCCACAAATCAGCCATGATCTCAATGAATGGCATAACATGCTTGAGGGGCTGAATGGCCCATCCCTGTTTTGATGTCCTTGAAAGGTGCCTTCATAGAATCCCTACAGAGCAGAAACAGGCCATTCCGTCCAACAAGTCCACACCAACGCTGCAAACAGCATCACACCCAGACTCACCCCCATACTCTAAATTTCCCACGGCTAATCCACCTAACTAACACATTTCTGGACACTATAGGCAATTTAGCATGGCCAATCCACCTCTTTGGACTGTGGGAGGAAACCGGAGCACCTGGTGAAACCCAAGCAGATATGGGGAGAATGTGTAAACTCCACACAGACAGTAACCGAGACTGAAATCGAATCCAGGTCCCTGGCACTGTGAGGCAGCAGTGCTAACCACTGAGTGACCGTGCTGCCCAAACTTATCAGAGCTTGTTCATAGTGTGCAGGGGCTGGGACATCGTGTGCGCAGTGTAATCAAAATTGTGTGTGCTCGTCTTTGGTTCAATTAGATGTAATCTAATCGTATTTCTAACCAGTGTTGTAAGGTCTAATGCTACCTCTTCAGGAAGGTGAGAAAATGAAAATCAATACTCAATTCCAATGGTGGTCATTCACATGTTCCTTATGTTTTTACAGAACAAACATCACAAAGGCATGAAGAGTTTTAGCAAAAGGATTACCTAAAAGAAATCTGATTCAGAAAATTGAGCAAGTGGGATTGGCTGAAGGACAGTGGACCTATAAGTGGACCAATAGAGCACCCTGTGTTGTCCAGTGCTTCTCCGGAGCAGAGAAACTATGCCATGTTCTTTGCAGCCTTCAACATGTCATTGATGACAATGAGCATCTTGCCAAGATCTTGCCTTCTTGCTTTCATTCTTGCCTTCAAACAACCAGCAAACCTTAAACAGACCATTGTTTGCAGCAAACTACCCAGCCTTCAGGACAACATTGACCACAACACTACACAACCCTGTCATGCAATCTCTGCAAGACCAGTCAGAGCTTTGACATGGACACTACCATCACAAATGGGAACACCACCCAGCACGTACACGGCAGATACCATGTGACTCAGCCAGTGTTGTCTATCTCATACACTGCAGGCAAGGATGCCCTGAGACATGGTATATTGGTGAAACCATGCAGACTCTAAGACAATGGATGAATGGACACTGCGCAACAATCGCCAAACAGGAATGTTCCCTCCCAGTGGGGAAACACTTCAGTGGCCAAGGACATTCAGTCTTGGATCTTCAGGTAAAGGCAGACTTCAAAGCGGACTTCAAGAAACACAACAACGCAGAGTCGCCCAGCAGGAACTGATAGCCAAGTTCCAAATCCGTGAAGACGGCCTCAACCATGAGCTTGGGTTCATGTCACCCCACATGTGACCCCACTACACTGTTCTGTATCTGTAAAGCCTTGCTTACTTTCCTGTTTTGAGACCATCATCTTCATAAATTGTTATGATCTCTCCACCTTAATTAGTTTTGAATTACTTATTACTTTGGTTAGACCCTTGGAATGCAACTCTTATACCTATCATGTTATTCTAGTCATTTAGATAATTAGTTGTAATTACCTCTCTGCCTCATTTAATCGGATTATAGGTCATCCCTTCGCTTGTTATTCAGCTGTTGACACTTCATTCACACCATCTAACACTCTTGGTCACCTGCAGAGACTTATTATTCGACACTCCACTCACACAGGTTGTGTGATCTTTTGATCTCTCTGCCCATAAATTCTGTACCTGTGTGCTTTTCTTTCACACTTCAACCTGACGAAGGGGCTTTGCTCCAAAAGCTTGCGATTTCAAATAAACCTGTTGGACTAAAATCTGATGTCATGTGACTTCTGATTTTGTCCACCCCAGTCCAACACCAGCACCTCCACATCACAATAAACGGGAGCATAGGCAGAAAGTATCGGTCCCATTGGCTCAGGTTTATTCTGAACTTAACACTGGGTGAGGCAAGTAACATTTACCCAGGAGAAGCTAATGAAAGGGTAAAGGTTACATTTAAATCATTTACTTACAACAATCTTAAAATAGTCACTGGGGATGACCATATCCCCGTTCTTTATCCACTTCACAGTTGGCATTGGCGTCCCCATCACTTCGCATTCAAACACAATGTCCATGGACTCATGAGCGTAAATGTTGACTGGACGCTTCAGGAAATGCGGGGGTACTGAAACAAAAAGAATGGAATGGTGAGCACACAAACAACAAGCACTGCTCCAAACATAAGCTTCAGCAAATTCAGGGTAATGCAGTCTAAGGTTTTTGAGTAGATTTGTAGCTCAGGTTGTGGATGTTGTGGTTGGTTCGCTCGCTAAGCTGGGTTCGTTGTTCCGCAGACGTTTCATTACCCTGCTGGGTAAGATCATCAGTGCAGCCTCCGATGAAGCACCGTTGTGTTTTCCCGCCTGTTAGACGCTACCAACTAGGACTGGACAACTGACCTAGAACAAGCCGTTGACATCAGTCAACAGACTACAACAGCCAAGAAAAGACAGGCTCTTCAGGAGAAACTAGCCAAACTAACCCACCAAAACGACAATAACAGAGCAAACACCTGGATAAGAAACCTTTCAGACAAGAAATTGACAGACACAGAGAAAGCTGTTCTCATTCGCGGACTCAACTACAACCACAGAGACGCCAACAAAACAGAATTTCTAGCCACAGTAGAAGCCACACTGAGGACCAACGGCATCAATGAGGAAATACAACAAGCCATAAGACAGACAGTGATCCCGACACTGACCAGAAGGAGCAAACTTAACACTCTCAACACGTCAGAAAGGAAGGCCCTAGAAGGACTGAAAAAGGACAAAAACATTGTAATACTACCAGCAGACAAAGGGCGCATGACGGTAATACTTAATAAACGGGACTACCTCTCCAAGGCACAGACACTACTAGCCGACAAGAATACATACTGGCAAGTGCAGACAGACCCGACACCCACAACTGGGCAGCAAGATCCTCAACACACTCAAAAGACTCAAACAGACCAGACAAATCAACAAAACAGACTACCTAAGAATGAAACCAGAAGGAACTAACACCCCCCAATTCTATGGCCTCCCAAAGGTACACAAACCAGAAGTACCCTTCAGACCCATAATCTCCCTGCCAAGCACGCCATCACATAGATTAGCCAAGGAGTTACAAAGGAGACTAAAGCACCTCATCAGCAGGTCACCTCACTCAATCCACTCAGCCCAAGAGTTCCTCAATTCCATCAAGGACATAAGAATAGACAACAAGGAGACCATGGTATCATTTGATGTTACTGCCCTATTCACATCGATAGACATACCACTAGCAAGTGAAACACTGGCAACACTACTAAAACAAGAACAAGACCCGAGTGACACTATCTCCACAGACAACATGCTGAAGGGACTGGACCTATGCCTCACCACCCACTTTACCTTTAACGGCCAGATATATGAACAGATCAACGGGACACCCATGGGATCACCTATCTCCGGACTAATAGCTGAAGTGGTGATGCAGAGACTCGAAAGCATGGCCCTTCCACTAATCTAAAAGTCTTGCTGAATGTATTGCCCTCATCTATACATCCAGTTACTTCTTCGAAAAACTCAATCAACTTGTTTAGACATGACTTCCCCTGAACAAATCTATGCTGACTGTTGCCAATTAATCTCTGCCTCTCCAAGTCAGATTAATGCTGTCCCTCAGAATTGTTTACAAGTTACCCAACTATTGAGGTTAGATTGACTGGCCTGTAGTTTCCTAGTACATATTTATATTTGTATATATATCCCTTGCTCCCTTCTTGAATAATGCTACCATATTGGATGTCCTCCAGTCCTCTGGCACCTCCTCTTGTCTCCTTCAATAGCCTGGGATACATTTCATCCAGCTTGTCTAGATTGACTTTCACTTACTTTATTTCTTCAGGTACCATGACTTAAGAGGACACTGGAAACCCATTGACTTCCATTGGATTGGTGCATGATTACAGTTGGAAAAGTACTACAATGGTTTTCCATTGCCTTCTCTAGGAAAGCTGACCAGGAATCTCCACTGATCTTACCACCTGCTATATTGGAAAGATTTACAAATTGACAATTGCCCTATTTGGCCACGTTATGAACACTCCTTCATTGGCAATCAAATCCTAAAATAGGATTTGAATCCAGTGCTTCTGGCCCACAGGAACTCAGGTTGGTTAGAGAGAGAACTGTAGAATCATTCAAGCATTGCTGAAAAACTTTTTGTTGAAGCTTTTTGTCTTTCATTCATCTGGACATTTTACAAGAGGTATCAAAATAATGGGAAAACAACATGTATAATGTATCAGAGTAGAGTGCTGATTGGTTTGCAAGTGGATTCTGGTTGATAGAGGTGTTGCCATGGTAAATGCACCAGTTAATGATGGCTGATAGTTAACTGTGACGCTTTGTTAAAATTTTAAACAAGGCAGATTGACTCTGACTGGTTAAGGCATTGCCCTGAGAAATTAACCAGTGAATGGCTGTCACCTATTTTGTTGAGTTGAAATAGGTGGTGTGTGTACATGTTCTTTCTGTCTGGAAAGAAGAGGGTCCTGTGTTTTAACATATGGAACTTCAAACGCAGAAAGGTGTGCCACACCAAGGGCCTGACTGTAAATCCTAAATTGGTGGCCCACATAATTCTTTACACACTCGGGATAATCCAACAAATGTCATCCAATTGCAGAATCACATCTAATGTTGGACACTGTTGAGAGTTTTGCAGGCATAGGAGAGTTGGGTACGGTCAGTACCTGCCTTCTTGTGAACAGCAAAAGCAATATATCGTTTGATATGATGACATCTGGAACATATGATGAACACACCAGTTCTGAAATTCACATCCAACTAGTTCACATTGTTGTTTCCCCTTTTCATTGGTATCTCCTGTGTATTATCCTGATTATTACAAGACAAAAAGCTTTGATAAAAATAATTTAAGGATCAAGGGAGGGAGGGAGGCAGGCAATAGCCTAGTGATGGACTGTTAACTCAGAGACCCAGGTAACGTTCTGGGGACCCAGAATTTGAATTTAATAGAATCTGGAATTAGGAATCTAATAATGTGAATTGTCAGAAAAGCCCATCTGGTTCACTAATGTCCTTTAGGGAAGGAAACTGCCATCCTTACCTGGTCTGGCCTGCATGTGGCTCCAGACCCAGAGCAAAGTGGTTGACTCTTAACTGCCCCCTGGGCAATTAGGGATAGACAACAAATGCTGGCCTAGCCAGAGATGCCCTCATCTCTTGAATGAATAAAAAAAATCAATTGGGAAAAGGTTTAAACTGGGTTTTCTGAATCCGTGAATTAAGATGGGCTAAACTGTCTCAAAGTTATCTTGTAGTCTTAATACTGAATATTTTTATTTTATTACAATGTGAAATAAAGAATTTGTTTATCAACACCTGTAGAATTAATTTAACGTCAAGTCATCATCTGATGTCTCTCTAATAAGTAAACTACAGTAAATATGGGACCTGACTCCATGGCTTCATCCTTAACCAAACCTTCATTAAATTCAGTTGCATCTTAATGACTGGCACAGCCTGTTGCTATAGCTACTAATTAGTCATCACTTACAGAAAATCATTAGTGTCTGAGACAGCTGCAATGAGTAAATCACAAATCCAGTTAAATATATTTGTACAGGGGAGCTGCTATGGTCCAAGGCACCTGGCCTGAAACCACACTGGGATTGTTAGCTGTTTGATGGAATAGGTCACTTTAGTCTGTACAATGCTCATTTATTTGAGCAATTTGTCAAGAGTCTTAGATCATTTGTTAGACTTTACCCAAAGACAGCCTATTGGGGCAGACAGCAAAATACAGATCACCTTCACCCTGTGCTCATTTTAGAGAGCAAGTATGCACCTGCCACACAGAAGGTGCCATAGGTATTTCTGCAAAGACACAGACCACTGCAGCTGGGTTGTCAGTTCAAATCCTTGGTCTGTGCACTGGTTCAAAGATTTTTTAAAATTGACATATCCTCCTCTGTACAGCTTCCTTTCCTCTCAGGTCAGGAAGGTTGCTAATATCTAGATTGTAAATCACACTCCTGATGCCTGACAGATTGATCAAGTGTCACCAGGTGATTACATGTCAGAAATGTTCAGCACTTCACTTCTGACCAAAAGGGCAGGTTATAAAATTGCCAACAATTCAGCTAAAGTGAGCTGCAGACACAACCTAATTACTGCAGATGGATTCAATCATCCTCCATGTCACACATGTGGAAAATACTGTAATACTCAGGCTTTAGCATCAAACTTCAGAAATGCACCTTTCACAGGGAGTGCAAGAGGTTGAATGAACAAAGGTCGGAAATGTGACTAAATTTGCCACAGATACTACAGGCTAAAAACTGCACTTTAGCCTTACACAGGCACAGGAGAGAGAATCAGGAGCAAATCACATTATTTACAGATCTGCTCACCTCCTGTTCTGAAGGCATTTCCACTACCTTCCGGAAATATAGTTTCACTTTTTCTTATTTGTTTATGGGATGTGAGGATTGCTGGTTGGATCAGCACGTATTGACCTGCCCTGGAGAAGGTGGTGTGAGATGCCTTCTTGAACTGCTGCAGACTTTGGGGTATAGGGACAGTCACAATGCTATTAGGGAGGTAGTTCCAAGATTTTGATCCAGTGACACTGATGGAACAGCAAGTCAGGATTATGTGTGTGTCATTAATATCTGTAAAAGGATTGGTTTAAATTTCTAAAGTTCTGAAAGATCTAACGTTCTAGAGTTAAATTTTACCAAGTACCAAAGCCCAAGCACCATCCCTAGCTAAAAGGCAAGTGCGACTTGGCGGGGGGTGAGCCTGCCCATAATGCATCTGACAGCTGCCCTTCAGCAATTTAACACAGCTTTATTGCTTTAAGGTGAAACCTTTACCCTTTCTTGGGAGGAAGTCCCACCTAACATAGCTGTTGGCTAGTCAGGTCATGTGATAACTCTAATTCTAGAATGCTATTGGGAGCAGCAGCCATTACTGGGACAACAGAGGGTCACCATTGCTAAGGAGGCCAGGAACCCGGTGTGTCAGCAGGAGTGAGTGATCAAGTAGGGGCATGAAAATGAATTTAAGAGGGTAAGGGGTTAGTTAAAGGAGCAGAATGGGTGGGCACCAATGAACCCAGGGCACTCTCAAAACAGGATCCCCCACCCGCTACCTTGGCTGAGTGACCCGACACAGCGAAAGCTGCCTGCTTGCCACATGGCCTGGGCTTCCCCTCCCCACAAGTAAAATACCAGCAGTGGGATGCAGCCCTTTAGTGGCTATTAACGAACCACTTCAGGCCTTATTAGGCTTAAGGGCAGGTGGGCTAGCCAAGAGCTTTGACACAACATGCAACATTTCAGACAGGTCAAGGTGAGCCAGCAGCTGAATTTTATGTTGTACTCCATCTTCAAACAAGGGAAAGGAGAAGAGGAAACTGCAGCCCTTAAAGATAGCTTCTATGAAAGGCTCAGCATTTAACTATTACTCTGGTTGCTGTTTTGTGCAATGTGAGTTCCCAGTCCCTGATGACCACATCTGCTCAGCACAGTTACAAGCCTTGATATTTAGTCAACTTACCAGAGCAATACTAAGCCTGGATGGGAAGGCTTGGTAGGTGGAATATAATGTATGAAAGTCTGAGGTTATGCCCTTTGGCAGGAAGAATAGAGGAGCTGAACATGTTTTAAATGGAGAAAGACTGCAGAAAGCTGCAACACAGAGGGATGAGAGGGTCTTCTTTCGTGAATCACAAAAGTTAGCATCCAAGTTCAGCAGCTAATACCAAAGGCAAACAGAATATTGGCCTTTATTTCAAAGGATAAAGTTGCCACAGCCCTCCGGACCATAGGGCTACTCTCTCATTAAAGAGATGACTGGCTGTGGTTTAACCTACGGATTACCATGCCTCAGGTGAGTGGACAGGTTGAGAAGGAGGGACCTTCATGGTAACCTCAGCCAGTGCTGGAATTGAACATTCACTGCATCACAAATCTTCTGTCTAGCCAAGTGAACTAACCAACCGCTCATTACAAAGGGAATGGAGAATAAAATTTAGAAAACCTTACAAAAAATTTGACAAAGCACTAGTCAGACCACAGTGGGAATATTCTGAACTGTTTTCGAAGGAAAGATATCCAAGTACTGGCATTGGAGGTAGTCCAGAGAAGATTAACAAGGTCATTTCTGGGTAGGCAGGGATTCACTTATGAGGAAGAGTTTGAGTAGGTTGGAGTTGAGAAGAATCAGACGAGACCTTATTGAATCATACAAGATTCTTAGGGGATTTAAGGGACAGGGTTGATGAGGAAAAGTTGTTTCTCCCTGTGGGACAGTTTAGGGCCAGAGGTCAAAATCTCAGAATAAGAGGTTGCACATTTAAGACAGAGATAAGGAGGAATTTCTTCTCTCAGACAGTAATGAATTGAATTCTTTTCAGAGGGCTGTTGAAGCTGGGTCATTAAGTATATTCAAGGCTGAGATAGACAAGTCTTTAATCAGAAAGGGAATCAAAGGTCATGGGGAAAAGGCTGGGAAGTGGAGTTAAGGATTATCAGATCAGCGATGGTCTTGTTGAATGGCGGAGCAGATTTAATAGGCTTAATGGCCACTTCTGCTTCTATATCTTAAGGTCTGATGGTCTAGTGGACACATGTCCATAGGCACATTCTATGTATGATTTATCTTAATTCATCGTCTTAATCTTATTCCACTGCTAGCAGCAGTGATTTAATAATCTTTCATCACACAGCTCAGAGTGCTCATCAAACTCAATCAGAGTTTGGGAGAAGGGAACCTGTGACTGTACTGCTGAGTTCACACTCAGTACTGTTGATGGTCAGGGCAGCAGCCAGTATTTTTCTAAATATCATTTTCCAAAGAGTCTCCGGCCTGCAACCAGGCTTGTCGACCATGGCAGGCATCAGAGTCAAGCTGACTCCTGCCCATCATCAATGCTGATTGTTTAGTTGGGGTCAGGGCACTGATCAGTGATCGGGACCCAAAATTCTGGCTGACTTCTCACCAGCCTAAGGGACCTGAAGGCTCAAACTGCCATTAAGTCAGCAGCACAGATCAGGAGTGGGAACTAGGATGATGGGGAAAACCTGAAAGGAAATGGGACTGTGCGCATGAACCAACACTGTAAACACCCAGAGCACATCCAACATCTCCGTATACACGGAACAGGCCAAATAAGCTCAGGGAGGGCTAGACTCCGGACTGTTGTCAGTAGGCAGAAACTCCCTCCTGGACTCTAGATTATTTTCGGGATTTAAATTTACACTTAGGTGGGACTGTGCTTTTGGAACACACAAAACTTCTTCATCAGCAGCATCCTCAGGACAGGAGGGAAGCAAATCAGTCAAAAAAAAAACTGTTTCTGGTTCCACATTCCAAAACAATGTTATCATTAGAACATGTTTCCATTTGTGACATAAAATATAAAACTAAAACAGAAAGTGCTGTCGAAAGTCTGTTTCTCTCTCCAAATATGCTGCCAGATCTATTGTGTTTCTCTAGCATTTGTTGCTTTTCTTTCAGATTTTTAGCATCTACAGTGTTTGCTTTCATTTCAGACAAGTTCTGAAGAGTTTTACCAAATGAAGGAGAAAGTAATCAAAGGCCAAGCTTAGAGGGTGAAATGAAGTGAGATAGGAGAAGGTTTCGGTAGATTCTTAGACTGAATGGCTCGTCTCTGAGCAACAAATAAACAACCATACCTTCTACTTCATGCAACCACCCCGCAAAGACCTTAACTACACACATCACACACTCCACTGGCCAAAACATGATTATGTTAATAGGAAATGGATCGTGTCTGATTTGTGTAATTACCCAAACTAACAGTGATCATCAAAAGGCGCTGAGACATCCCCAGAACACTCAGTTATATGTTTGGTTATTGTACCTTGCACACTGAGCTCTGTTTGAGCATGTACTGTTTCATTCCCATTCTCCACAATGCAGTTGTAAATCCCAGCATCATCTTCTGTGACGTCACTTATCTCTAGATTACCACTTCCGACCAAAGTGATCTTCTGGAACCTACATTTTTAAACAGCCATTAGTAAGAAAGCAAAATCAGATTACAGAGCATAATATGAAAAAACAGAAAACTATGGGAATAAAAACAACTATCTTTTCAACTGGTGAAAATCCTCCCTCCATTCTCATCTGTTGTATTGTCGCTGCGTCAATATCCTGAAACTCCCTCACTAACAGCATGGTAGATGTAAAAAGACCACATAGACTGTAGTTCCTCAGCTGGGCTCACCACCACCTTCTCAGGGCAATGAACTCTGGTCTTGTCAGCAACATCCCAAAAACTTTAAAGTTTTTAAAATACAGACTTTCCCATTTATTCTCTAAAGTCTGTCCCCCACACACAAATCATCTTGTTCAATCTTTACACTTCAGCATTAAAATTTGTTTTGACAAGTTATTGACGCCTTGAATTACAACATCCTACTAAATTACTCAATCTTGATTTCAGTAATTATATGATTTTCACCTTAGAATCACATCATTCTGTAATGGAAGTTAGTTAATCATCTTCAGCCTCCATAACTATTCATTCTCAATAACGAAAATCTGTAAATAACAACCGCTTCTCATCTCAACTATGGCTTTTCATTAACACACAGGGCTTCAACAAACAAAGAATAAGTGGAAGATTTTCCTCACTGTCAAAGTAATTATCCAAACACTTTGACAATGCTCTTTTTGATATTCCAGGAGTGGAATTTCTGTTAATTTTGGTCTCCACAGTTCCATTGCTTATCAGATCCCTTCAGCAGCTTATTCCTTAGGACTGCTCTAGTCAGTGCTTCTGCACCATCATCCACCCTCCCTGACCTCATGCACTATTATTGCAATGACTAACTCAGTGCAGAGACAGGGGTAAAGAAACTGCCTGCTTTCAAACTAAGGCATTCAAACCAGAAGGTCCAAGGTCATAGCTTTAGTGAGTTAATTAATCTCAGTGTGAATACTACAATTAATCCCAGAGTTATGGAAGGAAAAAGTAAGTCATGGTTCTCATGTGTGACCATTGTCCAGATATTCCTCAGAGTGAATGTTGCGCAAGGACAGCATTGGGCCGAGATGTCTTGAAACCAGAGAGCCTGCCACCAGGGAATACGGATCAATTAACACTTTCAAGACGAAGGTCAATAAACATTTTGTTAGATAAAAGGATTAAGAGCTGACGTACAGAACAACATTAAATACCCTTTTATTAAACAAGGGTATTCGAGGTCAGAGAAATCAAGGTGGGTAGATGGAATTACAAAATATTTCAGTAATGATCTAACAGAGGAGCAGAACACACTCAGGGCTTCCTGTTCCTTTACCAGGCACACACAGAAAGAATGATTCCTTGGGCCAAAAATTCATGGGTACCCTCTGAACAGTCAGCATTTCCAAGAGAGAGACAGGAGAAGGAAAATCATCCAAAAGAAGACATTTCACAATTTTCTCCTCAGGCAATTCTCTCATAAGAACTAGGAGCAGGAGTAGGCCGTCTGGCCCTTCGAGCCTGCTCCGCCATTCAATAAGATCATGGCTGATCTTTTCGTGGACTCAGATCCACTTACCCCCGTTCTCACCGTATCCCTTAATTCCTTTATTGTTCAAAAAAAATCTACTTTTTTTTAAAAAACGTTTACTGAAGTAGCGTCAACTACTCTACTGGGCAAGGAATTCCATAGATTAACAACCCTCTGGGTGAAGAAATTCCTATTCAATTCAGTCCTAAATCTGCTCCCTCTAATCTTGAGGCTATGCCCTCTTGTCCTAGCTTCACCTGCCAGTGGAAACATCCTCTCTACTTCTATCTTATCTATTCCCTTCATAATTTTATATGTTTCTATAAGATCCTCCCTCAATCTTCTGAATTCCAACGAATATAATCCCAATCTACTCAGCCTCTCCTCATAAGCCAACCCCCTCAACTCCGGAATCAACCTAGTGAACCTCCTTTGCACTCCCTCCAGTGCCAGTACATCCTTTCTCAAGTAAGGAGACCAAAACTGCACACAGTACTCCAGGTGTGGCCTCACCAGCACCTTGTACAGCTGCAACATAACCTCTCTGCTTTTAATCTCAATCCCTTCAGCAATGAAGGACAAAATTCCATTTGCCTTCCTAATTACTTGTTGTACCTGCAGACCTACCTTCTGTGATTCATGCACAAGGACACCCAGGTCCCTCTGCATAGCAGCATGCTGCAACTTTTTACCATTCAAGTAATAATCCTTTTTACTATTACTCCTACCAAAATGTATGACTTCACATTTATTTACATTGTATTCCATCTGCCAGACCTTTGCCCACTCACTCAATGTATCTATGAGGATTAATTGGTTTTTGGTGTAAAATCTTGGGTGTATATAAAGATGATGTACATCTCATAACAGGATGGGCTGGATAAAAAGGCTTTTTTTAAAAGTGAGAATGAAGCTCATTATTAGCCAACATCCCTGCCCATATGTGAAGTGGTTGGCAAGGAACAAACCCCTGGGTTTAAGTTGAATTTTAAAAATTCTACCACAGCTTGAAAGGCCTGACAGACTGGACTTCAGAACAGAACCTGCAAGTAAGTTTTATCCAAATGATATCCAGACATAGAGGTGGCCATCACATTAAAGGTTATTGGAAAGAGCACAAATTAATAAAATGTGAATCTGTTTTTAGGCCCTAGTTCTGAGTTTGTGTTTGAATTTGATTCCCCCTAGGGGCACCTCATTCAAGGCCTCTTCAGTACAGAGACTGCCTGAACTCAACAGGAGCTGAAATATTCACATATTTGGCAATCTTTCATCCCATTACGTAACTCTCTCAACATCATTACATTGCAGGTAATGAAACAGAAAGTCGGCACACAACTTGTTGAAATGTGGATTAGTGGAAAACATCAGCTGTCAGTAAACAGGGAAAGGGCGCGTAGGATACCAAAAACCTGGGAATCATTATCAGTATAGAGGCAAAGATGTTACTGAGACTTCTGAAGAGGTTAAGAGCAACAAATGAATTTACTGAAGGAGAGAGAAAGGTTGTTTGCTGAGCTACAACTTGGGACAGAGAATCTTTCACATGGATAACAGCTGCGTATACTTTAGGCTGACTGTAACTCTGTCCAAGTGCCTGTGTTTTGAAGGAGTTAAAATCTCACCCATAATAATTTGAGCAAGGACACAATATACACAAGGAAATACAATCTTCACAAGGTTTGGAATGCTCATGGAGTGTTTGGCTAAGGTCAGAATCCAGGAAGATTATTTTAGGGGGCTTGGAATTTAACTCTATCTGGTCACAACCATCATGACGTTTGTTTGAGGTCTGAATCGAATAGATTGCATTACTGCATGGGGGAATGGTCACTTTCGCTATCAGCTCCTGACAATATTTTAAGGGAAATTCAAACAAATTTGGCCCATTTTCGATTAACTATTTATTTTCTCCAGTCTTGCAGACTGGTAAGACACAAAATTCATTATTCTACAGGAGCCTGTGAGCAGCCTCTCCCTGCAAACATCTGCTTTAACACTGTACGCTTTTTCACACTAATATAGAGGTGTAGCAAGTCTGAATCGACAACAATCTGTATGCAACATTGCCCAGCATTCAAGATGTCTGCAGCTCCATTTGATTACTTCTCAGCCCCAGTAGAATTTACTGAATTATAGGCCATCATTAAATCACACACACTTCCATTGGAAAGCAGACGTAAATCAATGGTTTTTTTAAGAAAAAGGTTTATCTGATAAATTCCTGCTGTTTCCACCATTTCAGTAGCACCTATAAACAGCTAAAGGAAAGTCCCTGACAATCCGCCCGCAGCCTCAGGCACAACTTTAATAGGACACTCACTTCCCTGTTTGGGATGTGTCTATTTTAGTACAGGTCATTTGGGGAAAATATGCTTTACAAAAAAAAACCTCAGGTAATTCTCTCTGCTCACAGCAGCCCTCTTGTACCCCAACCTCAAAATCCTATTTCTTCCTCCTTCTCCTTCTTTCTATCCTGAAAAGGCATTTCATGCTGGTGTTCTGTATATTGTCCTGTCACTGTTGTGCATGACTAGATAGAGCGTGTTTAGCAGGTTTCAATTCTTGGAGTATTGTGGCCAAGTCCATTCTTATTCTCAGCCAGTGTTTCATTTACATCTCAGGCTATATAGGACAGCCAGTGAACAGCAGCAACTATCTTGGCTATTTATCCCTTCACTAGCCCAAAGATAGCTCCATCAGGGCAGCACCAACTTAACAATAACCTGCTCACTGATGCTCACCTCAGTTCTGCCAGGGCCATTCAGCTGTTGATCTCATCACAGCCTCAGTACAAACGTGGAAAAAAAACAACTGAATTCCAGAGGTAAGGTGAGAGTGGCTGTCTTTGACATCAAGCCACATTTGACTGAGTGTGGTATGAAGCAGCCCAAACAAAGCTGGAGTTAATAAAAAAATTGGGCAGTGGAAGGGGTCATACCTGGAACAAGGGAAGATGGTTGTGGTGGTTGGAGGTCAGACATCTCTGCAGGAAATCCTCAGTTTTTTTTTTCAATTTTCTAATCGTCCTATTGAAAGATGTTATTAAACACCTCTACAGCAGGTAGGACTTGAACCCAGGCCTCTTGGCTCAGAAGTAGGGACACTAGCACTGCATGGTAATAGTCACTGAGACCCTCAGTATACTGTCCTTGGTCCAACCATCTTCAGCTGTTTCATCAATGACCTTCCGTCCATCATAATGTCAAAAGTGGGGATGTGAATGGTAATGATTACACAAAGTTCAGCAGCTCCAGTCAGTAATTTCCCATACTATCCTGACTTGAAAATATATCCATTCTTTCAACGTTGCAGGATCAAAATCCTGGAACATCCTTCCAACAGCCTGGGGGCATTCCTTCAGCAGTTCAAGAAAGCACTCACCACCATCTATTCAAGGGCAATTAGGGATGAGTAATAAATGCCAGCCCGGCCAGCAAAACCCACATCCCATGAATGAATTAAAAAAAAGGCTTAAAGGGTAAAATGGTCAGCTCCAGTCTTGTTCCTTGTTATGTTCTTACCTTCTAACCAATTATTTAACGGTTTCATCATATACATGTCCAGATCTCTTAACATTTTTGTCAACCTTTCTCCATCATACATCCTATATGCTTATGTAGAATGCAGGTTGACTCTTTAAGGCTTTCTTGCTGTAATTACACCCTCCTTCAAGTGGTGGTGGTGGTGTACTTTTAAGACTCCCTGCTTATTCTGCAATGCAGATAAATGCCAGCATTCCAGCCTAATCTATTCCAAAATATTTTTGAAATCTGCTCTTCAGGATGCAGATGACACTGGCAAAGGGACATTTATTATCCATACCAATGGCCACATTGGTTGAGACTGAAATTCCAGGCAAACCAGATGAAGCAGGTTTCCTTCTCTGAAGGACTTTGATGAGTTGCATTTTATGACAATCCAGCAGGTTTTGTGGTCACTTTTCTGATGCCAGTTCATAAATGATCAACCTTCATTGATCGATGAATTAAACTTCACAACGTGCCATGGTTGCATTTGAATTCTGCACTCTGGTTTGCCAACCTGGCACCATAGCTATTAACCTATTAAATCCCAAGTTTTGCTTATTAACCATGGATCACAATATTGAGTCAAAATTGTGCGACTGCCTGACTTTTAAGTGGAAGCTGAATTCTATCTGAGACACTGTTTAAATTCTCCCCATCTCGTAACTCTACTTCTCCACTTGAATTTCACTCCATTCTGCAAAGCCACAGGATACACTGCTAAGTTAAGCATTTTCCATATTCTCTTTAACTCTCAAATTCAGTCAGATCGACCTAGCTCTTGTTATTCTGGAATTCATATTTAGTAACTTATGGTTGATGTCTCTGTGTTGCAGGATTTCTAGAGCACAAACGGAGTGACTTGGCTACAATGGCCATACAAATGGCATTTTATAAAGGGGTTTTCATCCCACACTGCCTTTAAACCACATTTTTATGCCAACTTTGCCAAAGACCCAAAAAAATGGCAAGTGAGTCATGACCAGGGACATGGAGAAGTATCGGTTAAGGGTCCTAGATGAATAATCAATGATGTTCTCCCAGTCTGAACTAAGAAGTTCACTCCGTGAATGGAAATAATAACTCACCTTTCAAAGATAGTCTCTGAATTACGGCTCCAATGAATGGTGGGCGTTGGGTAACCAGAGACCACACAAGGTAATATTACTGTCTGGCCTGCTATTTTACTAACGGGAACAGGTTGCTGCAGAAACTTCATCTTTCGCTCTACACCTGTCTCTGAAAAAGAACAAAGTGAGACTGTCAGTGAACTAGTTATCAAAATTACACAGAGCTCCTATTTTCAATTATAACAGTGCACACAGACATTACAGGTACAGATACATACACTGAAAACCATTAGATAGAATGAACATGGAATAAATGAGCGTAACAGTCTATATTTTAAAACTTCTTGCAGAATTAATCTCAAGTTCACTGAGGCAAAGGAAGTTTGTTATAACGGAACATTGATAAAGTTTGGCAAAGTAAAGCTTCCTTAACTGAACATCAATTTTGGAGTCACCCTAACTGTAACAGAATGATATTTTACATTTACTTACCAATCATCTTACACCCTCTCAGTGACATAGCTGACTGAATGTCGAAATAAAAGCAGTTAGGCATAATATTAGAATGATCTAAACTCATTTCACATAAACTCTGGGGTCATCATAGAGTGGCAGAACACAGAAACAGATCCTTCAGTGCAGCCAATCCATGACGACAATAATTCCAAACTAAACTAGTCCCACCTGCCTACACTTGGCCCATATCCCTCTAGACATTTCTTATTCACAAACTTATCTAAATATCTTTTAAATGTTCTAACTGTACCTGCATCCACCACTTCCTCTGGAAGTTCATTCCAAACAAGAACCATTCTGTGTGTAAAAAAAAAATCCCTCGTTTCTTTTTTAAATCTATCCCTTCTCACCTTAAAAAAATGCCCCTTAGTCTTTAAATCCCTCACCCTAAGGAAAAGACACCTGCCATTCACCTCATCTATACTCCTCATGAGTTTTATAAACAGCTATAAGGTCACTCCTCAATCTCCTATGCTCCAGTGAAAGAAGTCCCAGCCTATTAGCCTCTCTTTATAAATCAAACCCTCCATTCTGGGCAACATCCTGGTAAATCTCTTCTGAAACCTCTCCAGCTTAATAATATTCTTCCCATAACAGGAAGTTCAGAACTGGACACACTACTCCAGAAGAGGCCTCACTGATGTCTTGTACAACCTCAACATAATGTCCCAACGCCTATACTCAAAGGTCTGAGCAATGAAGGCAAGCGTGCTAAACATCTTCTTGACCACCTTATCTATATGTGATGCAAACTTCAGAGAATTACGTATCTGAACCCTGAGGTGTCTCTGTTCTACAACACTCTCCAAGTCCCTACTTTTAATTGTATAAGCCCCACTCTTGTTTGTTTTACCAAAATGCAATATCTAACACTTACTCAAATTTAATTCCATCTGCGACTCCTCAGCTCATTGACCCAATTGATCAAGATTTCTTTGTAATCTTAGATAAACTTGTTCACTGTCCACTATGACACCAATCTTGGTGTCATCTGCAAACCTACTAACCGCACTTCATATATTCTCATCTAAATCATTTATATAAATGACACAGGATTCCATAGGTGAAAAACTGCAACCTGCCATTGCCCCTTTTCATCACTCTCCCCTAGTTATTGTGATAGTCAGTTACCTGGTAAAACGGTGAGCTCTGTCTCTTCACTTGTTTTAGACAAACCTGCGGTTTCCACAGAGCAGCGGTAAGATCCAGCATCAATGTCAGAGACATTACTGATCTCCAAGGAGCCACTGGGCAGTTTGAGGAACCTTCCTTCCAATACTACAGGTTGACGGTTGTGTTCCCACCTCACAAAAGGAACAAGGTCACCATTCACCTCGCATCCTAACAGGGTGGAGTCACCTTGATGCACAGAAACAGCTTGGGGTTGACCACCGAACCGGGGAAGACCTGAAACAGGCAAGGACATGAATCACTTTACCTTGGATAGAATATCAACAAATGAATAGCGACCAATTGTCCTACTAACCACATAGTCAGAAAAGAAGGCTTTACACAGTAAAAACCAAAAGAACTGTGGATGCTGTAAATCAGGAACAAAAACAAAGTTGCTGGAAAAGCTCAGCAGGTCTGGCAGCATCTGTGAAGGAGAAAACAGAGTTAATGTTTCGGGTCCGGTGACCCTTCCTCAGAACTGGGGACAACTTTGTTTTTGTTCAGGCTTTACACAGTGTTTCTTATCACCTCAGAGCATCCCAAAGAATTTTACAGAAAAACTTTTATTGAAACACTTCTAAATAGTAGTCACAGTTGTCACGCAGGAAATCAATTTTGCATAGTCAGCTCCCACAAACAATTAAATAAATATCAGTTTTGAGGAAGGGTAACCAGACCTGTAACGTTAACTCTGATTTTTCTTCACAGATGCTGCCAGACCTGCTGAGCTTTTCCAGCAACTTCTGTTTTTGTTCCTGATTTACAGCATCCACAGTTCTTTCGGTTTTTAAATAAATACCTAGATTGTCTGCTTTAGTGATGTTGGTTGAAGGATAAATATTAGCTAGGACACCAGGGAATTTCCCGCTCTCTGTCAAGACAATGGCTGTGGAAATTTCAAACCCTCCTGATGGGGGCAGGTGGGCTCTCAGTTTAGTGTTTCATCTGAAGCACAACATCTCTGACAGTGCAGGATTCCCTCAGTTATTGCACTGAAGTGTCAACCTCAACGTTGTGCTCAAACCTCTGCAGCGGAATTTGACTCAAAGCTTGCTAATCACTGAGCCAAGGCCAACACCGTCAATTATCTTTGAACATGGGACAGCAGGGGTAGCTCTGATCAGGGTGACTTCAAGGAGGACGATAATAGCACAGTCAATGAGCAACATTTGAAAGGTTCCAGATGAATGCTAAAGATTCAGGTTTGGTATCCTTCAAACATTTCTTCCACAGCTCCTAAGTGCAAACCCCCAACCAAAAGTCTCAATTCAAAAAGTGAAGTTTGTGATTAGCTTGTAACAGATGTTTGAAAATTCTCTTGTTGGGAACCAAATTGAATGAAACAGGAAACTGCAATAGGTTGACAGGAGCATTGGTGCTTAGTTGACGTTTTCCAATGTATTGGAGGTCTTTTCTATAGTTAACCACATTAGCACCAATCCACAAGGAGTACTGGATTGTGCTGCAAACTTATCACAGAGTGCTAATATCATGTGCTATTTTGATACTCAGGCCATTTTTAGATCTATTTTGCAGTATTGTTTCTTAGTCTGCCCAGCAAGTATATTTAGTACTTGGCGAAACTCTGCAGGTCTGGCAGCATCTGTGGGGAGAAAGCAGAATGAACGTTTTGAGTTGACTCTTCATCAGAACTCGACTTAAAACGTTAACTCTGCTACATCCCCACAAATACTGCCAGTCCTGCTAAATTTTGCCAGCAATTTCTGTTTTTGTTTCAGATCTCTGACATCTGCAGTTCTTTGTATTATTTACGGACATTTAGTAGTGGGATTTGGAACCCACTCCATACAGAAGGATATGTATAAGATCATAAGATGTAGGAGCAGAATTAGGCCATTTGGCCTATCATGTCTACCCTGCCATTCGATCACAGCTGATATTTTTCTCAACCCTATTCTCTTGTCTTTGCCCCGTAATCCTTGAACCCCTTACCAAACAAGAACCTATCTCAGTCCTTAAGATACACAGTGACTTGGTCTTCACAGCCTTCTGTGGCAATTGGTTCCACAGATTCACCACCATCTGGCTGAAGAAAGTCCACCTCATCTCAGTTCTAAAGGGTTGTGCCTTCACTCTCACGTTATGCCCTCAGGGCACAGTCTCTCCTATGAGTGGAAACATCTTCCCCACGTCCACTCTATCCAGGCCTCTCAGTTTTCTGTAGGTTTCAATCAGATCACCATTTCAACCTTCTAAACTCCACTGAGTATAGACCCAGAGTCTTCAGCCACTCCTTATATGACAAGTCGTTTATCCCTGAGATCATTCTTGTGAACTTCTTCTGGGCCTCTTCCAATGCCAGCACATCCTTCCTTAGATAGGGGGCCCAAAATTGCTCACAATATTCCAAATGTGGTCTGACCAGAGCCTCATACAGGCTCAGTAATACATCCCTGCTTTTTTATTCTAGCCCCCTCAAAATGAATACTACGATTGCAATTGCTCAACTGCCAAAAGAACCCGTAAATTAACATTAAGACAGTCCTGAACTAGGACTAAGTGCTTTTTTGCTTTGGATTTCCAAAGCCTCTCCTCATTTAGAAATTAGTCTACACCTCTATTTTTCCTACCAAACTAAATAACCTCACACTTTCCCACATTGTTTTCCATCTGCCACTTCTTTGCCCACTCTCCTTGCCTGTTTAAGTTCTTCTACAACCTCCCCACCTCCTCAACAATACATCTCCCTCCACCTATCTTTGTGTCATCTGCAAACTTAGCAACAATGCTATCAGTTCCTTTGTCCAGATTGTTAACACATAACATGAATAGTTGTAATCCCAATACAGATCCCTACAAAACTCCACTAGTTACCAGTTGCCATCCTGAAAAACAGTCCCTTCATCTCCACTCTCTGCCTCCTGCCAGCCAGCCAATCCTCTATCCATGCCAGTACCTTGCCCCGAACACAATGTGCTCTTATTTAGCAGCCTTTGTACAGCACCTTGTCAAAAGACTCCTGGAAATCCAAATAGATTACATCCACTGGCTCTCCTCTATCCAACTTGTTCATTACCTCTTCAAAGAATTCTAACAGACTTATTGGGCATGACCTCCCCTTGACAAAGTCATGCTATTTCACTACGTATTTCCAAGTACTCCACAATCTCATCCTTAATAATGGACTTTAAAATCTTCCCAATGACCTAGCTCAGGCTAACCAGCCTATAATTTCCCGTGGTCTGTCTCCCTCCCTTCTTAAACAGGGGTGTTACATTTCCAGTCCTCTGGGACTCTCCCTGGCTCCAATGATTCCTGAAAGATCACCACCAATGCCTCTACAATCTCCTCAGCTCTCTCCTTCAGTACTCTGGGGAATAGTCCATCTGTCTGGGTAATTTATCCACTTTCAGACCTTTCAGCTTCCCCAGCACCTTCTCCTTAGTGATGGCCACTACATTGAACTCTGTCCCCAACTCTCGAAGTCTGGGTAAGCTGTTGGTGTCTTCCACCATGACGGCTGATGCAAAGTATCTATTCAGTTTCTTTGTCACTTCTTTGTTGCCCAGCATCACTTCTCCAGCCTCATTTTGCAGTGCTCCAATGTCCACTCTTGTCTCTTTTACATTTATATACCAAAAAAATCTTGCAATCTTCTTTTAATTACTAGCTAGCTTACCCTCATATTTAATCTATTCCCTGGCCCCCTCCCTCCTTTGCTTTTTTAGTTGTCCTCTGCTCATTTTTAAAAGACTTCCCAATCCTCTGGCTTCACTCTAATCTTCACCACATTGTATGATTTTCCTTTTGTTTTTATGCTGTCTCTGACTTCCCTTGTCAGTCATGGTTGCCTTGTCCTCTCTTTAGTATATTTCTTCTTCTTTGGGCTGAATTTCTGCTGTGCCTCTTGAGTTACCCCACCATCATCTTCCCTGCTAGGCTCCCCATCCAATCAACTCTGGCCAGCTTCTCCCTCATGTCTTTGTGGTTACCTTTTCTCAATTGTAATACAGTTACATCTGATTCCAGCTTCTATTAAAGCTCTCAATTCTGTGCATTCATATACCAACTCATTCATTTTCAGAGACAACAAGGTGCAGAGCTGGATGAACACAGCAGGCCAAGTAGCATCATAGGAGCAGGAAGGCTGACGTTTCGGGCCTAGATCCTTCATCAGAAATGGGGGAGGGGAAGGAGGTTCTGAAATAAATAGG